CAGCCACGTCCAACACAATACACAGTGCAAAATAAAATAAAAGGAACTGAAGGGTTAATATATAATATAATATAAAGTTAAGGACCTTGAAGCGAGGGAAACAGGTTTCTAGGGCAATTATAGATCCACTAGCTATAACCGTAGCAAGATGCCTGCAGCATTGACACATGAAAGTACTGAAAGGTCTTGGAAATAAAAAGTACTTGATTACTTACTCTAAAACACTTCAGATAGCCTCCACAGCAGACCAATTAGCAAGTAAAATAAACTTGGAAACTCCTCAGCTAGTAGACAAAAATTCCTCTTCTCATGGATGTGGCCCACAAAAAGTAGCAAAAACAATTTTTTTGCTGCTCAGGACATAGGTAATCGTCTGCACGATGACGTACAAAATGAGAGGAGTCTGGGGATGAACTTATCCCAGCTGAATGAAAACGAAAATCGATGAAAAAAGGGGGTTACCCTACTTAAAAGTGACTTTTTTTATATAAAAAAAAAATAATAATTAAATAAACTGCCAACCAGAAAATATAATTATCTATAATGTTATTTCGTTCTTTAAAACTTTGAAAGTAGCTAAAAAGCCAGTTGTTGTTCCAGTGCAAAACGAGAGGAGCATGGGGATGAATTTATCCCAGCTAAATGAAAAAAGTGAGTAGGAAAAAAAAAGGGGGGGGGGGTTAAACCCTCTTTAAAAATTGTTATTAAAGAAGATAAATAATTTGCTAACCACAAAATATGATCATCTATAATATTATTTCGTTCTTTAGAACATTGAAAGTAAGGTAAAAAACAACAACAACAAAAAAAAAGCAGTAGCTGTTCTAATTAAAGGAGGGTGTAAAAAGAAGAACAGGGGATTCAAGTAAAAAAAATAATAAAATAAATCAAGTAATTAGGTGTTCAATTATGTACAGCCTGTGCAGTAGTCATTAAAATGCTACTGAATAGTTAGTTCCCAAAGGGAGTTATGCGCAGAATTTACATAAAGATAAGTCCAGGAGGCAGTCTAATGGAATTTCTATTACTGTTTTTCACTGTCACGCCATCGAACATATGATACGAAGCCGTTCGTTCAATAGATAAATTCCAGATATGCAAAGACCCCGCCAAGATTCATGTCAGTGCAATCATTTCTATGAGAGATATTTGGAGAAATATTTAATTTTACTTAAATTTATAGAGCTTTGTATGGAGACGTAGAATGCAAAACGGTCCGTATAACTGTAATATCACACAGTTTGCGCCTTGCACTGAAACCGATTTTGAGAAAAAAAGACTTTTTTGCAGCCTAATGGAGACGCCATATTGGTACCCATCTGAGAGGCACCAATAGCCGACATTTTGGAGCGACGCCACCACTGGTTTCCTCCCGAAATGACGTGTGCGAAACGAGCGCATAAATTCCATACTGATGACGCGTCACTACTTCTACTACTCAAATGTGGGTAGTGCTTCTAATTGGTCGTGCCGGGTGGGAAATTTGCTTCACCAATCAGAAGCGCTATCCAGATATGGGAAGTGACGCGTCATCAGTATTGAATTTCTGCGCTTGTTTCTCAGACGTCATTTCGTGGGAAGCCTGTGGTGGGCGTCGCGAAATGTCGGCTGTTTTCTAAGGCTAATTTTGCTGAGAGAGCGAGAATCCCTCGGGACACTTATAATCATTAAAGTAATGTTTTTCTGATACAAGGACTATTCAGAGAGCAGAATTACCCAAAATAAGTCACCTTTTTACCCTACACCACAGCTCTCTCTTAAACAGGGGCACCCAACGAGGATATAGTTCAAAACCACTTAACATAGCATTCTTGAACGTATTTTAGTATTTAAACGGTAGATATAGGCATATTTTTATCCCCTAAAAACATTTCATCTGTTCGGATTTCCTAGCTGAAAGTCTAGTGATCCGAAAATTATAGGGATCAAAACTTACCTTTTCGAAAATTTCAGCCAGGAAAAGGCTCCCGAAAATTCTAGGTGGCCTTTTTTAGGGTAAATATTCGTTTAAGATGGGTAATTATACCATTTTGTAGATGTTCGAAAATCCTAGGAGAGGCAGGTAAGCAAGAAATGTTACAACAAATGTTCCGAAAATTCTAGTTCTCAATTCGTCTTCCGAACCGATATTTTCCCGAAAATTGCCGTTGGGTGCCCCTGTCTTAAATCATGCTGTGTCATTCAAAATGTTAGAAATTCAAGTGTACTCTATCACAAAACGAAGGACCCTCTCAAAGAAAAAATTGTAAGAGAATAAGCTTTTTAAAAGCTGCTCTAACTCTTCATGAAAGTAAAACTAAGGAGGATCGATAGTTATTTTTGGCGACGTCATGTCAAAACCAATAACTAGCTTATTATCCAGGTAAAAGGCAACTTAGGCAACCCATAAGGCAATTCTTACCATAGCCAATCACTTTCGTGGTTGGTTACCGGTACCTGGGCAGCGAATGAATGAGCGTAGACGTCTATAGCAGCCCCCCTGAGAGAGATATTGTCGCATGCGTCTGATGCTATTCATTTGGAAAAACGCTGCACTGCAAGCCTTGTGAGGTAGGCACCAAGGTTTTTTTTATCTATATCGATGAAACAATGCCACAATGTTAGATAAGAGGGCTGCAGATGTCAACCCATTGGACGAATCAATGGATTTACTGAGCTTCAAAGGCATATAAAGGCCCGATAAAGACCGCCTTTATCGACCTTTGCACACCTTTGAAGCGCGGTATTACTCTTAAAGTTTTTGAAGATTCTTGAAAAGTCTATGTTTCAACTACAGCTACTTATTGCCAACGAGGCAACCGAGCTAACAAGCGAGGTTGCCTCGGCGGCAGATTTATAATCCCGCACGACGTAGGCAAAAACTCTAAAATTTGCATTTTTGACCATATTTGGGTGTAAGTAAGACCCCATATTTGCGTAGTGGCGTCACGGTCTTGTATTTATAACTCGTGGTCCGAAATTGGGTGATTCAGTGGGCAGCTGTTCGTTGTCTTTTCAAGAGGACCTAACAGGTGAGCAAGCTCTAATACGATTTCTAGTTTGAAAGGGCAATTAGTGCTCTGGTTTGCTTTATAAATTGTGTTTAAAGAAGCAGCTGATCAAGGAATAGGGTTTTACGCTCAAATTTTTGTCAGAACCAGCTTATTCTTTGCAGCTCGATTTACAATGAGGTAGCGCGTTCGCTTCTCGACTCTGAACCAGGGTTTTTCGTATTTTCTTTTGCTTTGTGAACTGAATTTTAAGTGGCAGTTGATCAAGGTATAGGGTTATATTCTCAAAACTTAATCGGAACCAGCGTGTTCTTCGCAGATCGATTTACATTGAGCCAGTCCTCAACGTATTTGCGGCCCTTTTTTAGAATTTATTCATGTCTTTAGATTTTGTCAACCAGCAAGTTTTTTTGATTTACATTGAGACAGACCAAAACTCCCATGAGGAATGCAACGCAATTTGCGAACCTTTTGTTTTGAAGACTATCATTATGCCTTTCAAGAGAATCTTTGACCTGTGACCCTCGCTCATTAGATCTTTGTATTTTATTTAAGTTTATATTTTTATACCTCTGATACATTCCGCCCCATTCTTGCGCTTTTCACATATTTTACTTTACACCAACTTTTTCTCATGTATATTACCAAGCAAAATATTTTTCTTATCCCTGATGACGCTGTTGCTCGGAATTTAATTATTATTTTTAATTTCAGCAGTCAAAGGCCTCATTTGAACTATATCTTTCTTTCTAACGTTTATAGTTTTATAGTTTATAGTTTTTCTATAGCGGAATCCATTGTAAACCTCTAAAATTATGAAAAAAAAATAATATCGCGAAGATCTGAATAGGCACATTTCACAAAAGATAAACGAATTCGCCTCGTTGGCACTTGCCGGAAGGTACCCGAAGGTACCCCTAGTTTATTTCTTAAGTAATCAATACAGTGAGTGGGCAAATGTAATAACTTCAGTAAAATTAGCATCGTGTGAAAACAGGTTTTGCCTTCACAGGTGT